GAGCAGTATCTGACACATCCGTTGACTCATCCAAGGCCAAAGAAAACCACTCAACATGTCCATTTTTGTCGAACAGTTGAGAGGATATATTTTCAGCGATGTTTTGTACCCTTAGAGCCACAGTGTTTGCTTCATAATGTTTTGTTTCATAATGACGTTTAATGTTATATCTTTGAGAACGGCTATGCTTTCATTGCAAATCAAACATAGCGCCTTGTTACTGGACTCAATTACGAAATACTGAATGTTCCACTGATCTTTGAATTTTCTGCATTCACTATCAATTTTTCGCTTCTTTTCCATACTACTAAATCACACACAAAAGCAACAATTCAAATCAAAATACTGTTACAAAGATGTCTTAAACACGCACAAACACGTTTTAAGGAGGTACGCACTATTTTATTTCACAACAGTGTCATAGGAACTGACTTCAGTACGTGCTATTAGCGCCATCTGTTAGCGATAGAAGGTACTACCTATTTCCACTTGTGTCCACCAGATGTCGTGTCACGTTACTCCTCATGGCTCGTACTCTACGACTAATCTAGAAATTACAGATAATGACAGGAAAATTAATGCAGTCAAAAGTCGTTAATCCGGACTCTTCGGGACTTCGGCGATTCCGGATTATCGATTTTTCCGGATTATAGATCATCAGTTTAAATCTCGTAAGATGGCATGCACAAATTCTAAAATTAAAAATATGAAACCGTATTTTAGGAAATAAAGAACAATTATGATCTAAAGGGTATCAAAATTTACAAAAAAAGAAGCTTAATATTTATTTGTTTACTTTATTAAACATTTCTTTCAATGTAAGTTGTTTCGTTTTATGTGATAATACTTTCTCTTTAATTCTATAAACAGACATAATTTCTTGTTCAGTTAAAAAGCTCCGCTGTTCAAGTCCCCTAATTGCTGTGCCGAGAATACCGACTAACTTGTCAATCGAAATTTTTTCGTTTTCACTAACCTCTCTGTCACCTTCTTCATGTCTTTATTCACTTTTTGTTTGACGGACATCGAGACATACTTTCGTTTTGTAGATCCTTTGGGAGCTCCAAATCGGAAATTGGCATAATCGAAAGTTCAAGTTTACTTTTATAAAATTGCTCTTACAATCTGCAAAAAATAATAAGCTGCATCCAGTTCGAAGATTAAGGTATAACGCAAGCATCAACATTAACTGAAATATATAATTGTATAATTTTAGTTTATATCGTCCGTTATACGTTAAACGCGCACGCGAAAACGTATTCTGCACTTGCGCACACGCATATGCGCGTGCGCGTAAAGGTCTTACGCGCACGCGTAAACGCCTATGCGCATGTGTCAACGCGGCGCATGCGCAGAAAGTTTTCAGCTTTGAGGTTCGGATTATAGATCATTCCGGATTATGGGTGTCCGAATTAACGACTTTTGACTGTAATATGCAGTGTTGCCGTTTTGGCGGACTTCAGTCCGATTTGCAGCCTTTTTTAAACGTTGCGTACTTTTTCGGACTTTTTTTTCATCAGTGGACTATTTCACTTTTTACCACCGGCAACAATGATAATATGGTTTTGGCCCTCGGAACTTACTGGAGTAATCAGTATGGCCCTAAGGCTGGAAAGTTTGGAGACCCCTGATTTAAAGCAATCTTTACAAAACGACATCTTGGAAGTTTCATATTCCAATGCTCTAAACAAAATTTTTACAGTTTATTTTCTTATTGCTGATATCAAATAGGAGTTATTTTACATATATCAAGTTTCCGTCCTCATGAGTGCTAAGTAGCCAATATGAAGCCAAAACGTATTTTCTTTGTGACTAAATATTACGCATTCCACAAACAGTTTCAGTTCTTAAAAACATAACAATATATTTAAGCATTTTTAAAAAATAATTTAAATTATACAGAAAATGTTGATGGTAATATCCAAAAGGAACCAAAGCACACACATCTAATACCATGGTAATATTCTGACAGTTATATCAAATTTATAGCTTTGATTCACCAGATGTAATTTTTACATGTTCATATTATATAGTGCTAAAAGAATGCATATTAAGAGCTTCAGTTCGCTATGCTTCTTTCAAAATTAGCTGAAAATTTGACCAAAAAATACAGAACTTCTCTACTTTAAATCATACTAACTCTTTAGCACTACATTTATTTCTATAAAATTTTGATATCAGTTTCTGCTACAATTGTTTTGCAGCCTTCATTGATATAAGCAATGTTTTTTATCATTTTTCTTATAGTTCTTTTGCGTAAATATATTCCATATAACTATTATTTAGAACATAAAAAAATATTTTGTATATTGACATCCTAGAGTCAAGTAAACAACATTTTTAAAACATAAAAAATAATGCTAATAAATTTATAATAATGCTAATAAAGTTATTATAAATTTTAGTAGAGAAAAGCTGTCATGAGAAAAATGCCTTCCCAGCTGAATAAGTAATATAAACACATAAAAATCATTTGCATTAAATGAGATATCAAATGATTTTCAAAATGAGCACAGCCAGTAAAATTACCTGAACAATGAACAATACGCAAAAAAAAAAAAAAAAAAATGCATGATTGTGCAAATGCAACAGAAAATTTTGGATACAAGCAATTTGAAACAATACTCAGCCAACAAATCATGAAAAGAACCAGACTACTAACACAAAATTTTATAGTTTCATTAAGACAGGGCGTACATAAAGTATGTGGACAGTTTTAAAAATTTACTGTAGCTAAACTAATTAGCAGCATATTTTTGTTATTGCAAATGTACTGAATAGTTCATATACTGCCGCTAGTTGGTGTCAGAAGCAAGATCAGAAGGCCTTCTGTGTGCTAGAATTTGACAAAACAAAGAGTGCAATGGATGTTCAACAAAAATACAGGACGAAGTACAGAAAAATACTAGCCAGGAAGGCAGTCTATAATTGGCATGGAAAGTTTGTTTAAACTGGGTGCTTGTGTGTAAAGCACAAAAGTGGTTGGCCAGGCATTAGTGCAAAGAACATTGAACGAGTGAGAGAAGTGTTCACATGGAGTCCTGGAAAATGTATATGCACTGCTGCACTCGAGTTGAAAATGCCAACAATGTGTGGAGTGTCATGCATAAAAAGTTACACATGAGACCATATATTACATCCCCCAAGAAAAAGACAAGCAATTCCAGTTTTACTCTGCAGTGCAGTTGAAAGAGTTTTTTAATTTTTCCTGAGGAGGCAACATTCCACACAAATGAAAAGTGAGCAACCACAACAATAGAATTTGGGGAACACAAAACCTGCATGACATAGTAAATCATGAGTGGGATTCTCTCAAAGTTCTTTGATCCATGTATTGCTGGAAACTCTATGGGCCTTTCTTTTTTGAAGAATCGACCATAACAGGACAGTCCTTCCTTGCAATGTTGCAAAACTGGTTAATGCCATTGTTGAAGCTGATACTCTGATAACTTTGTCCTTCAGTTAGGCAGGGCCCCTACACATTTCCATTGTTTCCTTAGGGCATATCTAAATGCAGAGCTCCACGATCATTGGATTGGTCATGTTGGGCAACCAATTAATGGTGACTTTTATCTACGAAGTTATATGAAGGACCTTGTACACATCCCCCCTTCCACATGAACTTCTGGAACTCAAATGGAGAACTGAATAGGTAACAGTCAATCTTGAAGGACATGCTGGACAGTGTTTGGCAAAAGTTTGGTAACCATGTTAAATTTGCCGAGTCACATATGGCTCCACAATGAATGATACAGAAAAAAAAGAAAAAAACTTACATCCTTAAGCTTTTAAATTATGTGCTTTCTTACTTCCTACTGCTAACAGTTTGTCTACAATACTTTTTTTAAGTGTTCCCATACTTTTTGTACACTCTGTATTATTGGACTTATTCAATTTTATGTTTGCATACAAAGAAGTTATGTTCCATGCAAAGAAGTAAAACTGAATTTTCTAAAAGATAAACTGGGTTCAATTTTGTTATTCAATGAAGATTCAATGTTTGCTTTTCATTTTCATAATCACCATAAATTTAAGTAAATATATATATATATATATATATATACATATATATATATTGCTTATTTCATTCAATAACATGCTTTGAAATCAGCTGGAAATAAAAACTGATGCTGCTTCAATATTTTATTCTAAGGAAATCTCAATATCTATAAAATAAGATTATTTAACTAGCTAGATTTTTATAATACTACTTTGCAAGCAATCATGAGATATTGAATGATCTAAGAGTAGTTGCTTTAAAAAAGTGATAGCATGTAACTTAATTATACTCCCAAACATGAATCCTGTGTAAATGTGATGAAAGAAAAGATCTGATTTGAAACAGAATAATTCATTCTGATGCTATATGCTGACATTCACTTGCATGGATGGTTGGCGTTTTTCATTGGAAAAAAAAAAAAAAAAAAAAAAAAAAAAAAAAAAAAAACTAAAGATGTTTTAGGTAAAAAAAAGGGGGATTCTAATGATGATAATTAAATTTTCGTCTCTTCCCAAATGACAATATCTCATTTTGTAGATAAATGTGTTCTCACGCACGGTATGCAGGACTCAAATTTCAAAGCATTTAAGGCAGTTACCGATATACTGTAAGTTTAAGCCTAACTGACCCTTGCTGCTATAGCTATAGTTTATTACTTTAAAATAGACACTTCACAGTTGCACCAAACCTCTCCTCATTTATGATTGCAATGTGTGTCCATTGATTGACACATATGAGTTTTTTTTTTTTTTTTTTTTAAATACAAGAAGTACTACAACACTAAAGCACATAAAATTTTTCAGATATTTCTAACTCTATTCATGGTGAAAAAAATTAATGTGCATTTTTATTTATTATTATTATGAGTGATCTTATTTTGGAATGTGTAAAATTCAAAGAAATCATTTTCAAAATCCCTTCAGTCAAGAGGAACAGAAAATTGCTTTGATTCATCACTAAATATGCATATATTTTTTCATACCTACATTTCAAAACTTACCTACTAGTTTTATCCTACCACTTTCAATAAGACCAGGTTGATCCTTTTTAACATTTTCTATGGACATATTGACTAAGTTTTCTATGTGATCAATTCCAATAGCTTTGCCTGTTTCACCTACCTATAAAAATAAACATTTTAAAGTACTTAAACAATGCCTCATTAAGTTGTGTTTGTGTATTCAAAATTCATCTTTATATTAAAAAAAATACTAGGATTGATACTTGAAAATATTAATTACAAGAAAGTGAATATTCTTAATTACCAGTTATTTATCAGCATAGTGAAATTTACAATACTCTCTATACAATCAGTTTGCTTAAATTCACAATTCTGGGAAAGAGGAAAGCAGCTTATGTCTTGCCTCTGACAAAAAATGTGCAACTTACAAAACTGAATCGTTTGAATAAACAACTTAGAAATATGGCTTCTCTCATTTCATTAATGATTAATTCTGTCACTTTTCAAAACAAAACTCATGCATTTGGCTCATGTTCCATTTTCTTAAGCCTACTACAGCAAATTCGAAATACTATACAAACTTTCTTAAATTAGTGCCATCATACCAAAACCATAAATATGCAAAATTTGTGCTTCAAGAAGCATCCATTTTCTGGTTTCAAATAATATATAATTCAATTCTAAAAAAAATAATATTTTTAACTTGATTAATGACTTCTACACAGATGGAGTACTTGCCATTCTGAATGCAACAGCACTACATAATAGTTACATAAATCCTATTATTTTTGTAGAAAACCTCAATTTTGTTCCTCTTTTCATAACTATTTTAAATGTATTTTAATATTTATCCACAAATTGTGAACAAGTTTTTAGAAGAGCAGATCAAACTAATTTAGATTATTTGAATATGGCAAAGCTCACTAGAGCTAATTGCCTAACTGAAGGGAAGCCTTTGGGAAGGACTTTAAGAGGAAAACTGACTTGTATTAATGTTACAGATGGGAAAAACTACTACACAACAAACCTGTTTACCTGGAATCGAACTCCCTGTATTCAGAGTCTTAACTACTCAGTTAAATATTTACATTAAAACTAGGATAAATATTTGCTAAATAAAATTTTCCTTCCTTAACTTTTATTTGCAACATGGAAAAATCCATTAAAAAAATTATAATGTATACCAACAAAACTGATTTAAAAAATTTCAATAAATCAGTGCAACACTTATATCCTTAAATAGTCATACAACTTGACAAAAGAAACTTACCATAAGAGCTAAGCAAGCAGTAAGATAACCACTTCCTGAACCAACATCTAATGCTTTTGCTCCTTCATACAAGTTATCCTTCAGTAACTCTAGAGCATAAGCATGCTGTCAAAAATAAGAAACAAAATAGAAAAGGCTTAGTTTTAATAAACTGTCCAATTCAGCTACATCTACAAATAAGCTAATAACTAAACAAGTAATGATGCATCTAAATAACTATTAATATATATAAAACTTAGGTTACATGCACAGTAAGTTCAACATCTACTACTACATTGACTGACATAGATATTTTAATCAAGAGCCCTTTCAACCGTTCACCGCTATCTAAAGAAGCCATGTTGAATATCTGAGATCACTTCCACTAAAATAAAATCTACTTTAGTCAGCATTATTTAACTTATGCCTCTTTCATTAAATAACAAAGAATCTGTATGGATGTTCCTTGCACTGTGGATGCTATGTATGTTACTTGCACTGAGGAAAAATGATGGAACCTGAGCCACTACAATTTGAATACACAGTCTTCCATCTGACCTTGCATAATTCAAAGCTCGAATTTTGAATTTCATTTCAGTTTTGTGTGAATTAAACAGATTTCTGATTAATAAATTTAACAATTTAAAAGCAATGTGTTGCCCTTTGGCAAAGCATAAAATATTCGTGTTTCAAATTTAATCAACAATCTCGGTGATATAAAAGAAATGTATTATGCCTCAGCAAAATGGAATATATTTGTCTTTCAAATTCAATCAAAAATCTCAGTCATTTAAAAGAACCGTGTTGCCATTGCTCAAAATAAAATATTTTTGGTTTTCATGTATGTTGCCATTTGACAAAGCGTAAGATATTTAACTTCTCTTGAAATTTAATCTGTCGTTTATTGTTTGACAAACTAAACAGCTTAAAAGCAATAAACATAGTTCTTCATTTCTATTATTAAGAATTACTAGTTGGACCAGTGAAATTACTGTACCTAGACTTTTAAAATCATTATTATTATTAATTACAATTATTTCAAGCAACTGGTCATGGAAGTGCTTAACTATTTTTTTTTTTAAAGGGGGGATATAAATTAAAGCAAATATTACATAAGAATGAAACTGTCTTCAAGCTCAAAAAGATGTAAACAGTACCAATATATTAAATTTAGAACTCTAAAAACAGTAAATAAAACTAGATAAAACCATGAAAGGAAACAGTGTCCTGTTATAGAAGTACCCATCACAAAGGTCTTCCCGCAAGTTGGCTGTTGCTCTCAAAGAAAGAAATTTCACAGGATGTAGATGCTCAAATCATTGTGTGGATTAGTTTTTTTAACTTCATAAAAGTGCAGGCACCTTTATGCTAAGGGTGGTCTGCAAAGAGGTTTTCAAATTGTTACAGTAAAAGAATTTGGGCATTCAATTAGCCAGAAAGCTCAAATAACATGGATATTTTAGAATTTTAGGAACTTCCTTTCACCCTCTGAAAAATTAATCAAATCAAAGACTTGTAAAGCCACAGAACACTGTTGAAAACAGCATGATTTAGCAAGAATAATGGATAAACCTGACATCATAACACAATAAGATCTCAGCCTCAGTTTTATGTAAAGGCAATTAATTCTTGCTAGCCAGTTTAGCTTTCGTGAAAAACAGCATAAGATAACTGCTATTTATGTCTCCCCTTGCATGCTGAAAAATGATTAAAATTTGGTGCCTGCTTTCTACAAAATAGAATGCAGTGAAATATTTAAAAATTTATAGGATTCTAACATCAAGAAAAGTGTGGATTAATGTGCACAATATTCAACTTTATTTGGAAACAGAAAACAGTGATGCAATGTAAAAATTATGAAAAGCAATTAAACGTTTATATATCTAGCAACTCGTTGATTAACTAAATAAAGAACAAAATGTTTCTTTAAATCTTAACTAGAATGACTAGTAAAAGTTTGGCAACATCTCCTTAAACTTGCATGGTTGAGGAGATTTTATAATCAAATTAAGATGTTTTATTTCTACATGTCACACTACAAAATACAATGATTTTTATGTTTGAAACACTTTTTAATCATACATAATTTTAAACATAGGTTTTGATGCTCACATTTGTAACAAAGATAACTGATTTTAAAATTTTATAGCTCACAATTTTCTTCTTTGATACTTTATCATATGTTAGCTTCAGAGCAAAATTTATTGTGCTATGACTACCACTTTAGTGTATTCCTGGTTAGGATAATCATACATACAAAACCTTAAGTGGATTTCCAAAACTAAAAAACTGCAGGAAGAAAATAAAATTTAAGGCCCAGTCCCCCCCCCCAAAAAAAAAAATAAATAAATAAAATAAAATAAAAAATAAAGTTAAGAGGTGCCAATAGCTGTTCATGCTTTGAAGGGAACTAAAATTATGTGACCAATCAGGAGTGAGATCTGTCGTCAAGTCTTGGTTGCATCATACTGCAGATATACAAGACAGCGGCTAAAATCTATCTATTTGAAGAAACAGAAATATTAATAAAAGTGTATTTTAAAGATGAACAAAGTTAATTTTTGAAGGGAATTTCTTCCATTCATTCAGCTTTGGTACCATGAATTAAATTTTTTACTCACTCAACTATCTAGAATTTTCACATATTCAGCCATTTCCTAAAGCTCCCAGATAGTCAAGCTTTCACTGAATTTTGATTAATAAACCAAACTACAGTTTCTTCACAACATAAATATTAAAGGACATGAATTATAAGTAATATGATAATTTAATAAATCACACACTCCATATGTCTTTATTTTCATCATATAAAGAATATCTATAATATTCCAACATACCATATGGGGTGCACTTATTGTAACTGCATAACCTATTCCTTGAGGCGAATCCCAATAAGGATTATTCTTGCAATAATTTACTCTATCTACAGCTAACATCACTTGCTCAACTTTTGGATCCTTGATAATTCCATTTCCTTAAAAAAGAAAAAAAAAAAAAAAAAAAATGTCATAAAGCCTGCATACCTTTTACTGTATGATAATTAAACGAGTTCTGTTTATATGCATCACCCAATAAGAATTTCATACAATAAACATTTAATAATAGATTAAATTAAGTGAGCGAGTTAATAAGCTTCAAGTACATTTCCAAATAAAAAAAGGAGTAATTGCTCACTAAAAAAAAAAAAAAAAAAAAAAAATACTAAGAAATATTTTATTCATCGGCAATACACATTTTCATGCACATATCGTGAGAATTCTTTACATCACATTTACTAAAAGTTTCTGACATGATTCATGCCTTCACCAATTCTTCAATAAAAGAGCGGCAGACTACTGGATGAAGATAATGCCTGTCATTATTGACTAAGGTCTTGGAGAGCATATATGATCCCCAACTGCCCAATTTCATACCAGTTTCAATGGAAAACAGGCCATGAAAGATGATCCCAAGGTCTCCTACCCCTCTTCTCTTAACAGTAAATCTATCAAGACTTTTCAGCACTTCAAGTGACCCATTACCAAAAAGACACTACATATTTACAAACATGCATCTCTAAATCCAGGCCAAACAATACGGCATCTGGCGCCACTAAACATCACAATGAACAAGATGGATACAATTTCTTTTCTATATGTTAGCACTAAGTATTTTGTACAAGAGTAAAAAATTTTACAAATGTACAGAAATGTAATTTTTTTAATCATTTATAATTCAGAAATTATCCTACAAGATGTCATCAAAATTTATTCTTTGATGATAAATCTACTGAATATTTCTCTCGCTGAATATGCAAAATCTGCATCAGTATTAAAGTATATACATGTCATAATAAAAGCAAAGGAAAAACGGAACACTGTAGATGCGTAGTTATCCTATATTGAAGAGGAAGTAATCTGATTGCGTCGTAAGCTAATGTGTTGACTTCGTAAATAAAACTTGGCAGTAGAAGCGATTTTAATTCCATTTTTATTTCCAATTGATATTTGTGGCCACAATCACTTGGCACTCTAGTCGTGCCTTTCCACAGAAGATTTACATTTTTGATATTGTTGAGATAGAAAGCAAGCGAGCGAAATCAGATCTTAGCAGAGTAAAGAGAAAAGCTGAAGTGCGTCGTTATGAAAGATGGAGGCACGCGAAAGAGCAAAGTTTTGGTTTACAAGGACAGTTTCAATTCCATCAGATTACGTCATCAGAGCTGCGCCGATCATAGAGTGATCTAGAAATGACGCAATGCAAAGAAGTTATTACGATTTTAGAATAGAGAGGAAGAATTAATGTTTTATAGTTTAATCTATAATTTTGATTCATATATTTTTATCTTACACACATATATATTTGGAAAAAAGACAAAACATTCTCACTTAATTTAGTTATTGTTACTTGATAGTAGATTGGTTTGTTCCCCTTGACAATTCAATTAATCTGCAGTCAATGACATTTAAGTTCTTTTTCAATACTTAAAATTTTTACTTTTGTTTTTGGTGTTTTTCCTATTTAGAACTTTCAATGGTTATTTAGGATTTTCAATGGTTTTTTTTTTGCAACAGAAGTCTAGATAATACTAATTTAAGTACCCACTAAATATTTTTTCTCATAATAATTCTTGGTCTTTAACTGAATTTCTGTTACTTAGAGATAATATTGGGAAAACTTTTTCTAATTATACATATACAGTCTAAAGTCGTTAATTCGGACACCCATAATCCGGAATGATCTATAATCCGGACCTCAAAGCTACAAACTTTCTGCGCATGCGTCGCGTTGACGCATGCTCATAGGCGTTTTACGCCTTTACAGCTGCGAATATGTGTGTGCGCGTGCGCAAAATACGTTTACGAATGCGCGTTTAATGTATAATGGATGGTATAAGCTAAGCCAAAATTATCTAATTCAGTTAATGTTGCAGATTGCGTTGTTCCTTAATCTTCGAATTGGATTCGGCTTATTATTTTTTGCAGACTGTTAGAGCAATTTTATAAAAGTAAGCTTGAAATTTTGCTTATTATCGTCAAAAGAATTTCTGATATATATTTACTAATATGTAAAGGATCTACAAAGCGAAAGTATGTTTCGAAGTCTATTAAATAAAAAGTGGAATTGCTGCAAAAAATGGATAAAGGCATATCCTTTGTTTATCTAAACTTTAACGTTTGTTTATCTAAACTTTGTTTATCTCTAACGCCGCGGCGCGCAATGAATTGGAAGTTGATCTGTCAGCACTATCCTTATCTTCAGCACAGATGTTCTAATTTTATTTGGCTTATAATTCCTTACTAAATGTATTATTTCATCTCGATGTACTCCGTCTTTGATATGATTTAAATCAAATTCCTCGTCATTATAATTCGCTTCCGATAGCGAAGAAAGTGACAGAGGTTATTGAAAACGAAAAAATTTCGATTGACAAATTAGTCGGTATTCTCAACACAGCAATTATAGGACTTGAACAGCGAAACTTTATAACTGAACAAGAAATTATGTCTGTTTATAGAATTAAAGAGAATGTATTATCACATAAAAAACGAAGCAACTTAAACAGCTTACATTGAAAGAAATGTTCAATAAAGTAAACAAATAAATATTAAGCTTTTTTTTTTTTTTTTTTTTTTTTTTGTAAATTTTGATACCTTTAGATCATAATTGTTCTTTATTTCATAAATTATGGTTTCATATTTTTAATTTTATAATTTCTGCATGCCATTTTACCAGATTTAAACTGATGATCTATAATTCGGAAAAATCTATAATCCGGAATCGCCCAAGTCCCGACGAGTCCGGATTAATGACTTTTGACTGTATATAGTAATATATTATTATCTGTTTTATATATATGTGTATAAAGCAGATGCTTATGAATGTTAAAGAAAATACACCCTAACCCAAAGATGCCACCAAGATTTATTTGAATGCGACAAACAACTGAAGGTCTGTCTTTTAATGCATTTATGGGGAATTACAGTCATGAGCTAAAACTTTTCCTCCATTTCATCAGGTTGCATGGTCTGCTCTCTCTCTATCTCTCTTTTTTTTTTTAATGGTAACATTATTTATTTACCGATGACCAAAGAAGATACTACATCATTCTTCAAAGAAGCATTTATTTCATTTCAGGTGAACTTGGCAATAATCTTGGCGCTATTACGATGGGGTCCGGGAAAGTACCAACAAATATTCATGTCGAATAAAAAAATAAATAACATAATCATCCATTCAGGATTCGGATTCATTCTAAATCATTAATCTGAAATACCCACACTTTGCTATGACTGGTACTCAAAATTAGAAGAACTAAAATAAAACATACACTTCTTAGAACTTATGATCAGGTTTTATAGCTTTTTATACTGAGTAAAGCTGAAATTATAGCACCAATAACAGATAGCACAATTTTTTCTAAAATTTAAAAGCATGAATATTTAGGTAACAATCAACATGTAAGACCTTCACATTAAAGGAATAAATATATTACCTAAAAAAATAGGGCATATGCCTAAATTCTATTAGAAATTGCCTAATTTTCTAGGGTTAGGCTTAGCGATGCGAGATCGTACTATTGCAACAACACACCATCTCCAACACGAGTTGCACTAAGCAGTGTGCTGTCACATAAGAGGATTAAGTACTGATGCATATATGATACACCCATCGAAGTAGTTAAAAGCATTCTGAAATATTTATCAAATGTGGATATGTATTGTTTTGCTGAAACATGAAACAGTTTACACTGTCTAAGAAAGGAGTCCTAGAGGTTCTACAACTTAAACATACAAAACAGCTATTAAATTATCCTATATATACTCAAGGAAAAACGTCTAACATAATTGATGTCTAGCCTGAATATAGCTTTTTTTCTATGCACTGTTTTAATCGTTGAAACATGATTAGGATGTGTGTCAGTTAATATAAATGATTGCATTGTCTAAAACTTGTCACATCAGCACCATATCCATACTCATCCATCGTACTGTAATCCACACTCATCCATCTTTGGTGATGAATGACACAGACATGTCACTCACCGTCAATGATAATTTGATACCATTCTGTTTTCCAAGTCACTCTGATACTGCATTAATCTACGTGCATGCAATGATATAAAAACACAAACTGAGACACGTTCAATACTACTGCTGCAATGATTTGTTGGATGGTCAACTATGTAACAGCTGGAACATAGGCTATAGGAGAAATTAGCTATGTTAGAATGAAATCATCATCATGTTCAGTGTTATCCACTGTACTTCAGACCGATGTGAAAAGTTAGCTTCTCTTAACTACCTGTAAAAGGCATCATTAAATCTCTATCTAAACATGTGCCTATACATATAGTTGATTAGACAGCCTCATAAAGCCAAATATCCACTCCTCTTTTAGATGTCCACTAGTTGTACAGCTTATACTAAGATTAATGAAGCACTTTATGCAATGTAAGATGCTACTTTGGTAAACGGTTGCACGGATTTTGGCAAGCAATACGACTTATGGTAAACCCATTGCTGGAGAAGTTATTTATGGTAACTGATAATTTGTTGTCATTTTATTTTTTAAATAATGAGTTTTATTATTATGCATAAATTCTGTGTTTTAAATATTATTTATGGCTTCTAAATATTAACCCGTTCGGTACAGGCATGTCAAAAATGCATCAGCAGCGAACATTACCTCACGGCCAGGTGTGTCATATTTGAATCGCCATTTAATTCACTGTATGGCCGGGCATACCATATACGACTTTTTAGATAGAACGTTTAATTAATATTTTTTTTTGCCACTAGATGTAGCTGTATGTCTGTTATGGGGAAATATATTGAAAGTTAAGTTACCTTCAAGTTTACCTTCATTCCTATGCAAAGTTTTTTATTTTGGAATGAGAGGGAGATTCATGGGTGGGTGTTGAGCAATGTAATGTCTCTTTAACTGCATCATTTGATATAAACAAATGCACCAAATGCACGTGTTCTGGATGCT